AAAATGAGTACAAAATTAGTTATAATAACATTATTCATCTATTCATTTGGTAAATACCATTTTAAAGTAATCTTGATTCTTTTATATTCAATACTAACATGCTTAATTGCTCATTATATCATACAGATCTGGCGAGTGTCTGAAGAGTGGTGACCTGTCTCTGGCTATTAGGCAGACACGCGATGATCACATCGTCGTCGAGAGGACCGGCGCCGAAGTCGATGCTATCGAAAGTGCAGCGCAGGTCTGACTCGAAGTCCTGGATATCGGTATAGTTGGCGGAGTCCTCCCCTTCGCACACCTCGTAAGTCGAGTCTATTATAAATCGCTTCACTATTTGTTGCATACAATTAATTGGTTAAAAATTAATTAACATTAATAATTGACAATTTCTTAATCGTGATCTAGTTTATATTACATTGACAGCCGCCCCAAACCAACCCTGTATGATATAATGAGCAATTAAGCATGTTAGTATTGAATATAAAAGAATCAAGATTACTTTAAAATGGTATTTACCAAATGAATAGATGAATAATGTTATTATAACTAATTTTGTACTCATTTTATTATAAATGTTTAACTTTCAATTAATTATATTTAATTTATTTAAACATATCGACATGTATTTATCATAGACTGTTAAGTAGCATAATGTGCATCCTATTTATACGACTAAACTTGATTTTACATTGCTTAAAAATAAATTTATTTATCATGTAATTTATCTATTATAATAAATATTTTAATTTCAAACATATTTAAATTTTAAATTGAGTGTGATGAACTTAAAAATAATTTACATTATAAAAAAAATTGAAACATTATTTAAATATGCGTTATTTTAATTAACACTTGTTAAAATATAAAAATTAATGAATCATTAGATAATAACGGACTATAATTTCTTGATTAATAATATTTTATATCACTGTTAATTATTTAAAACACAGTATATAGAAATAAAATATCAATATTTTGTATTTTACTATTTTATCGGGGTCAAAAAACATTAACTCTTATGTTTAATAATTTTATTAAAATGTCTAGGTGCTTAATTTATAAATTCTAATGCAAAAGTGATATCCGTTTGCAATTAACAGTAAGTTCACAATCGTATTGTGATTAATGATATCACAATTATATAATGCTTTATTTGGTAAACATTGGTGAATGCATTGCTCGTATGAACGAGATCTTAGTGAACATCGGATACCATAATATATACATCCATTCAATCACTTATATACTACAAAATATACACATTTACTATCATTACAGTTATTGGCACACAATTAATTTATCATCATTATGATCATGTGTGTAATATGACCCAGAATAATACCATATTTGATTTGAATATATTTATAGTCAGAATATGTGTGTACATAATTAATAATCTATAAGGAACTAGTTAAGTGAATAAAAATTCTGAGGTTTATTTAAACAAAAGTGTTTTATAATAAATAAGATTACATAAGAATATTCAACACTTTATGATTACGTGAGACTGCAATCTATGCCTTCACTGAATAACACATTACTTATACATTTCCAGGATTTCTAACTTTAATCAAAATAAAATCTAATTTATAATAAAAGTTATAACTATTTATTATTTAATAATTTTAGACAATTAAATGACATTACATTTAATAGCTTCTTGCAGCATAACAATTTTTATTTTAATGAACATTTGTCGTATGATAGATAAAATAGTTTATGAAATGAACTTCTATCTCATTTTTAGCATTGAAATTCTACATCATTTTGTTCTGACAATTAATAATATCTTAATTGTATAGCAATTGAAATTAAACATAATATGTTAGAGATATTATCTTAACTATAATTTAATAAACTATTAAAAAAAACTATAATTGTTGTAACAGAATATACTTTAATAAAATATAATATCAGTACCCACCAATTAAAATAACTATTATTAATTACCATTATAAATTACTAAACTAACAACATGATAAAGTAAAACAAGTTTACATTTACAGTAAATTTATTTCAAAAATATATAAAGAGGTTTTTAAATTAATATTATTATATATTTGCTGTTAATTACAAGAAAGACAATATTTAAAGATTTATTTACAACAAAAAAATTAATGGGTTTTCTAAACGTTGAAAACTACGCCAATAATTATGATAAATATGTGTACACGATCATTTTATTCTGTAGTGATATTGCCTATGTAAATATATATATATTTAATTAATTACTAAATCATATATTTATTAAATTATTTAATTTACACACAGGGAATGGTATATTCGGTTTACGCCCCCATTATGGTCGACATGAAATACATTTTACACACATCTATGAAATGGATCTCATTGTTTGCCACATTTGAGACCACGGGCTTTATTCTGGGAACTTTTAGTAAAATAATCATAATTATAATCATAATTCAAACATTTACCCCAATTCTATACCTACACAGTTGTCATGGTCAAATACAAGTGCATAAGCAGACAGTTATTATTGGCCCTATTCTTTACCGCATTAACCATCGCGTCGGCAGTCATACCCCTATCGCCATACCTATGGGTGCTGTATATCTGTGCGTTTGTCATTGGCATCGGTTCCAGTGTTTACGCCGTCTTCTCCACCGTATGGATGATAGAGCTCTGGCGGGACAGTCGGGTGCCTATCATTCAGATGTATGAGGTCTGCTTCGGTATCGGATCCGTTATATCAACGGCCGCTATGAAGCCATACCTTATCGGTGAGACTTCAGCCCAAAATCAGACCACATATTCGGACACAGAATTGATTATCGATGTGAACGATGTTATCGATAGGAGGTCTCGGCTTATGATCCCAACCCTTATTATTGGCGGTTGTATTATAACAGGTATTTATTGCATATAAATTAATTACTAAAATTCATAACAAATTAAAATTCATTTAATATTTGAATACCAGTTCCTTTGGCTCTCTTTATAATGCATTTTATAAAACCATATAAAGAGCCGAAAGTGAAGAATGAGGACAATAGTGAAGACACTACTGAAGACGAAAAAGACAATCAAAACATCAAAATTAACGTTAAATTGTTTGACAGAAAAGAGACGCCGAGAAAAACAACGCGACTCTTATTCGCACTGTTTTTCACATTTTATATCATTTTTGAGACAATATTTTTAAAGTTTTCTCAAACATACTTTCAATACTCGCCGCTCCGACTGACCGCTCAAAAGGCCACTGAGATATACACCGTTGCCATCACTGTCTACACCGTTGGACTTGTGCTAAATATATTTTATCCCATCAAGTATTGCTATAATATAATAATGATATATTTAAAACACTGTTTTATTACAATTTAATCACAAAATTTATCACGATAGATTTAAAATACGGACAATACTGGCCTCGCATTACGTAATCATAATAATCGGCGCAATACTACTAATCCCCGCCCGGACTTCGGTCACCACGTTATGGGCGGCCAGTGTGACCATGTGTTTGGGATTTTCCGGAATGTTTGCCGGAATCTATGCGTTCACTGAACAGCACATGAACTTCACGACCAAATTAAACTCGGTGTTTGTGTTATTCCGGGGAGTGTTTACTCTCATCACACCATTCATTGTCGGCAATTGGATTGAAGACTATTCACTCGTTTTCATTTACATGGAGTTCCTATTCCTCGCCATTTCTATTGCATTATTTCTCACGATTTTAGTTATAATCAGAAAGTATTCATATTTAACGCAAACAAATGTTGTCAACAATAATACACTTAATATTTCTGATACAAAATGAGTGTTCAACAAATAAATATAACTTTTAGTAAAATTTATAGTTGTTTTGAGAGAGAGAGAGAGAGAGAGAGAGAG